GGGCACTGACCTGTAAGAGGAAGGGCTGAGGGTACTGAGCTTACTCAGCCTGAAGAAGGGACAGCTTCAAGGGTGGGCCTCACAGCAGCTTTCAAATTCACAATCTGCACTAAGATTCAGCTCCATGTTAGTGCAGCTGCCTTCATTTTTGGATAGCCTGGCACATGAGAGGGAGCAAGCTCACTTCTCCTAGAACATAAACAGAGGGCTACAGCTCCTTTCTTCCGCTGTGCTTTTATCCCTCTCTCTGTGAAACAGGAATAACACAACTCCTTTTTTCGCCTTTGTCTCTGTCTATCTGAGTTGTAATTCTTTGCCTCTCACTATTAATGTGTGCTGTATCTAAAGCAGCTGATCTCCATTAGGGTTACTCATCACAACGATGACACAGATAGATAGTCAAAATTATTGGAGTGCTCAGTTAAATCTCCAGGAGTGTTTTCAGAGGTTGAGGGCTGCCATCTGCAGATTTTAGCTATGTTTTCAAGGATCAGGATTTTCAAAAATCAGATGTCACCAGAAGCTATTGTTCTTGGAGACTGCTGCACCACTCAGAAAAAAAAATCCAAGTTATTTATCATCTCCATAACAGGCATAATCTGCCAAAAATCTCCATTTTCAAAGAAAGCGTATTGAGGCATAAAGCAGGCATTCTTCTGCTGTGACAGTGGATTTCTTAATTACGCCTTTGGATATGTTTTCCTAAAACTGTGACAATCCCATTATGCTCTTGTTAATTTTCCAAAAGGAGTCTTTCTTTCATTAATTTTTTAATGCTCCTTGATCTACAGGCAGCACTAGCAGAATAGTATTTTGGCAGCATCTCAAACTATATCTTTCATAATGTTTATTTTTATTCTCAAAATAATCCTTATGCCATGCTGTACATTTTCATGTAACATTTAATGGTTCCTAAAAAGGATTTTTTTCCTTTTGGTTCTATGGTGCTACTGGGTTTGACGCTGATCCCTGTAAGGATGCAGTACATTAACTTTGCCAGATCTGAAGTACTGGCAGTCTTCACTCATTTCTGCAGTTAAAGGAGGGGATTCAGTAAACATCTCCACTCCACCCATGCAGCCTGCAACTTAACTGTTTCCAGAAAGCTACAAGAGAAGTCATCATGGGCACTTCTTTCTTTGCAGGAATGAATCTGCTTAACCAAAAGGATTTGTTTTGGTAAATTCTATCTAATTTGCTACAGAGATTCTAGTTTGCCAGAACAAAATGTCATGGTAACATAGCTAAACAAACACTTGTACTTCACTCATCCCTAAACAAGAACCAGTGGCTATCATTGCAAAGCTTTCTTCTGCTTCATTCAGAGAAGCCAAAGAATACATCCTCAATGCAATCCAAAAGACTGTTTTCTTGTGCAGCTCCTAACAGCGTAACACATCAGCCCATGCAATGCTGCAGTATGACTGCAGGGAGTATGACGGACCTGACTTCAACACAAGAAATCTTCTGTTTTCAGCCTGCTATGCTTTGCTGCCAGAACTACACCAGCAAGATACTTATAGGCTTACTCAGGAGCGTTTACAGAAGCTGTGGTTCCTGCAGAAAATTCCTACCCCAGCACACAGAGAGGCAACCGATTCTTTCAGGTTTATGCTGACCTTGTGTCAGAGCTGCTGCTTCCCAAAGACGCTCACTCAGTTCTGCGTTCTTGGCACCTGCCTGGATCAGACATACTTCATGTTCTTGAATCACTTGCATCTCTCAATCCCGTCACTCGCATACAGTCCTGCTGGGCTGAAGCTAATATTGCATGACTGCATTCTGAATAAAAAATTAAAAAACAAACCAAACCAAAACAAACTTTTATTTTGAGACTCTGGCACAGTTTCAGATAATCCTGGGCTCATTTCTACGTTGACTGACACTTGCCATTAATCTCACACATCTGTAAATAAAACAGTTCTAAAAAATTTGTTAAGTCCTGTATCTCTGGTAGAACGGTCCTGGAAGTAAGCTGAAAGCCAGGTCAGAAGGAAGAGCTGTTTCTCCCTGGTGCTTGCTTGCCTGCCAGCATCGCCTCTGCCCACCTGCCCAGAGAAGTCAGGCTTTCTGGAATGTGGGAGGCATATCAGATGGTGTCTGTCTATATCAAAGACCAAATAATGCTGTTACACAATAATGCTGTAGAGGTTTTGTGTTTTGGTCCTGTTCAATAATTCTTCCTAGAAAATATGCCTTCAGTCAGAATATACCTTTTATAAATGCTCCTTTAATAATGGCTAGTCTTTCTTTGGGAAACCATAACTACCCTACTGTTTTCCTTAATTTAGGAGATTAATCATCTATCTAAATAGAGGTTGTTTATGGCTAGAAGTCTTTCAGAGTGGTAGGATAGTGCTGCAACATATACAGTCTTCAGAATATTTGACTGGGTAAAAACCAGCTCTATCATTTGAAACTATTACCATCTGTAGGCTAAGTATCACTGGTAGAAGGCAATACATCATGCTGGCTCTAACAGCCCGAGAGAGGTGAAGCTGCAGCAGCTCCATGTCCCTAGGTCCAACCAGTAGTGAGGCTGAAGATAGATTTGTAGTAGGCACATGCACACAGAGCACACATGTATGATATATACATGCCCAGACACACAGATCACAGATACACAGAGCACTCATGCGAACACTGAGAACCAAGAGAAAATCTACCTCTTTTCTTTGTTTCTTTTCAAGACTGTCCCCTCTTCTCTCAGGGCTCTTTCTCCATTGGCCAACCACATGAAACAAAAAGGGGCCCAAACAATAGGCCTCAAACCAAAGTTGACTTCTGAGTGAATTCCCCGACCAGCAATCAGCATCTTATCAGCAGACTGAAGCAACCAGTATCTTATCAGCATGAAAATGTAACCCTGGGAACAATCCTTGAGAACTATAAGTAAACAATAGGAAGTAACTATAAATCCCAAATGTAAAGAAAAACAGAAACTCCTCAGACATGCCCGGATCCTGGCCAGATCCGGACATGCCTGAGTGAGGCATATCAATCTACCAGATATCTCCTGTGCGTTTTGTTTAGACTTGTTTGTTAAACTGTATAAAAGCTGGACCCTCTCACAGCAAAGACGGAGACCTCACCTACGAGTGGACGCACTGCGTAGGACTTCCCAATTGCCGGGAAAGGCTCTCCGACCCTTCGCTGTGACGGGGCTCCCCAGCTGATGCACGGGTCTGGATGATGGTAAAGTATGAGGGCAATTGGTGATGTATCTTTCTTAATCACTATAGCTACCTTTTAATAGTAATGTCTAGGTGCATTACCTTGCTTATTCTTTCTGCTATTTCTACTATAGTAAAATTTCTATTTCTACTAAAGTAAAATAAGCCTATTTCTTTAGCTTGGTGTCTGTGTCCTTTGTGTTAACCCCGTCAATTGGCAAAACAAATTTGGCGTCACGGACAGGATCAGAACAAAATGTCATTTTTTAAATCTAAACGTAATGAATCAGCTCCATCTGAAATTCCTGGATGGGAAGACCTTCCTTATAGTTCACTGGCTCTTGAGTGGGCTAAGGTCGGAGGACCATGTGAACAGTGGGAAAGTCGGCTAAAAGAAGCTGAACCACTGGATGTATTAAAATGTATCCAAAAATTATCTATTGAAAAAGGAAAAGAAATTGTGTGTTCGGGAAGACGGGGATGGGTTTTGTTAACAGCATATCGGAAACAGCACCAACAGAAAGAAAAACTGTTGTTAGAGCGCTCCCACATGGAGCGACAGATGTGTGATTTGCAGAATCAAATTGTAATGTTACAGTGTCAAAACAAGTTGCTTGCCGATAAGTTGGATACTTATCAGACTGTAGCTGAAAGAGCTGCAGTAAGAGTTGCACAGTATAAGTATAAGAAAAGAAGGGGACGAGTAAACCATAGGAAAGTGCATGCTGTGATTGCAGAAGCAGGGGTACAGTGGGATCCTGACAGATGGGATGGAGATATTTGGGATTCTACAGGTTCTGATGAGGCTGGTTCCTCAGATGAACCTGTGGATGTAAAACCAGTGTGGAGACGGAAAATAGAATTGGATACTAATGGGCAACAAGTAAGGAAGGATGTGATTGAAGATTATACTCAGCATGAAATAAATGATATAATTGAAAGATTTAAGCAGAGACCGGGGGAACCCCTGCTCTCTTGGATGGTGCGTTTGCACGATCAGGGAGCAGCAGGGGTAACCCTAGATCCAGGGGACTCTAGGAAGTTTTTAGTTTTGAGTTCTGACTCCTTTGTGCAAGATGCGTTCCGAAATAATCCTCAGGATACAAATTTGTTAACCTTGGCTGCCCGGGGATGTAATAATAAATACCCCACGGAGAATGATTGGCCAGGTGGGGAACGTCCCTGGTATACTTTGCGAGATTGTATACAGCGGATGAAGGAGGAAGGGATGAAATTGGCAATCTTTATAGGAGACCCTGACAGAATGATGCAAGCTGCCTTGTCTGTCACTCATAGAAACCGATTGATTAAAACTGCCCCACCAGCATATAAAAATGTAATAATGACTCTCTTAATTAATGAGACCGGAAATCCCATTGATGAAATAATTGAAAAAATACAGCAGCTAGGTGATCTTGGAGAATGGGGCCCCCGAGGAAGCGCAGGAAACCGAGATACTCGGGACAGCCCTAAAGGAAATGAGAACAGAGTCTCTCGCAAAGAAATGTTTACAGCTTTACTGAAGGATGGCCTATCTCGTGAAAAGATTGATGGTGTTCCAACTAACGAGCTGTGGCGAATATACAAACAAAGAGGGCTGAATAAGCCTAGCAGGAGAGTGCAAAGTTCTGAAACTAAGAAGCCAGGGGTAACTCAGCCTACAGCACCTCCTCCTGAGCCTCAACGGGACTTCCCATCTGCACACGGTGGGCCCTCCGTGAGCAGATCAGTTGTTCCGGGGGAAAGGGGGGATTGGGAGCTGTATTCTGATTTATACCCATGGAAGGAAACTAGGGAAATTGTCCAGAGCAGTAAACAGGGATGAAATTATGGCCAAGCTCCAGTGCAATGGGCACGGAAGGACCGACGGCCCCATGTGGAGCTCCAAATATTTTGGAAAAACCGGTCCTCACAAACAGTAAAAGCCTTAATTGACACAGGAGCGGAGGCCTCCTTGATATATGGGAATCCAAAGAAATTTAAAGGACAACCTGTAATCATTACAGGTCTGGGAGGGAAACAAATTGAAGCTGTACAAACTCAAATTGAAATGAAAATAGGAAACCTCCCAAAACGACTGTATTCAGTCATGATTGTCCCCATTCCTGAATACATAATCGGAATAGACATTCTGAAGGGACTAACTTTGAATCTCCCAGACGGTCAGTACCAGTTTGGGGTAAAAAATCATTTCAGTATTAAAACAATTTTAGTAGGAAAAGTGAAAATGCCTCCTGTACAGATTCCTGCTGCTACTAAATTAGTGACTATGAAACAATATAGAATTCCAGGAGGGCATGAGGAGATATCACAGACAATTAAAGATTTATTAGATGCAGGAGTGTTGAAACCAGTTACCACAGCTTGGAACAATCCGGTATGGCCTGTCAAGAAAAGTGATGGGTCATGGAGAATGACAGTGGATTTTAGGGAATTAAATAAACACACCCCACCACTTACAGCAGCTGTACCAGATACTATTACTTTAATAGAAAAGGTTCAAAAGCATTCAGGGACTTGGTATGCTGTAATAGATTTAGCTAACGCCTTTTTCACTATCCCAATTGCAGAGGAGCATTGGGACCAATTTGCCTTCACCTGGCAAGGAAGACAGTATACCTTTACCAGATTGCCTCAGGGATGGCTGCATAGTCCAACCATTTGCCATCGGACAGTGGCTGAGCATCTGGATAAGATAAAATTGCCTCCTCATATGCAAATAGTGCATTACATTGATGATATCCTAATTCAGGGAAATGATGAGAAGGAAGTACAACAAATACTTGAACAGGTGGTAGATCATATGAGACAGAAAGGTTGGGAAATTAATCCTAACAAGATTCAAGAACCATCCCAAACGGTAAAATTCTTAGGAATTCAATGGCATTGTGGGCATCGGGAAATATTACCCAAAGCTCGACAGAAAATTTTGGATTTTGCAGTGCCACAAAATAAAAATGAGGCACAGAGATTTATTGGATTGTTTGGCTTCTGGCGGCAGCATATTCCCCATTTAGGACAGATTCTGACTCCTTTGCATAAAGTAACAAGGAAAAAATATGAGTTTGAATGGGGAAATGAACAGCAAGCTGCTTTTGAGTCAGCAAAGGAAGCTATTCAAAAGGCCCTAGATTTGTGGCCATTGCAGGAGGGAGAAGTGGAGTTAAATGTGTCGGTAAATGGATTACATGCCAATTGGAGCCTATGGCAAAAACAGGGAAAGAAAAAAGTTCCCTTAGGTTTTTGGGGACGAAAGCTGCCAGAGGCAGGAAATAATTACACACCTTTTGAGAGACAACTATTGGCATGTTATTGGGCGTTGGTAGAAACAGAGCAGCTTACAATAGGACATGAAGTGTCCCTTCGTCCTGAAATTCCTATCATGCAATGGGTTAAAAGCTCTCCTAAAACCCATAGAATTGGGCATGCTCAAGAATCGAGTATCATAAAGTGGAAATGGTATATTCAGGATAGGGCCAAGGTAGGGGTTGGTGGAGTAGCTACCCTCCACGAGAGAGTAGCTACTGCCCCCACAGGTGATCAAGTAATGAACCCTGATTTCACAGTTGAACGGGAATCCCCAGTACGATGGGGAAAAGCTTTTGACCAATCGACACCCTCTGAAAAGGAACATGCTTGGTTCACTGATGGATCAGCTAAGTATATAGGAGGGAAGAGGTTTTGGAAAGCAGTAGCTTACTATCCCCATCTAGAAAAATTTTTAGAAACTACAGGAGAAGGGAAAAGCAGCCAGTATGCTGAATTGTATGCAGCTTATATGGCCTTGAAACAAGAAGACCTAGGAGAATGTCATTTATATACTGACTCCTGGTCAGTAGCTAATGGGTTAGCTACTTGGCTGCCAACATGGGTAGCCAAAGATTGGAAAATATACTCCAAAGAAGTCTGGGGAAAGGAATTGTGGAAGGATATTTGGGAAATAGTACAGAGGACTAAGGTGTTTGTGTTTCATGTTGATGCTCATAGTAATGTGAACACTTTAGAACGACTTTATAACTCTGTCGTAGACAACCGGGCAAAGATTTCCCAAGCTGGATTAGAATTCCCTCAAAAGGATGATCATGAAGGCTTGGCAAAATGGGCACACCAAAAGTGTGGGCACCTTGAAGAGAAAGCCACTTACAGGTGGGCCCAAGAGCGTGGCATAACAATGTCACTTGATATGATCAAAACTATAATCGCCCAGTGCCCCGTGTGCCAACATACTCACAAACGTCCAGTGCCTAATATTATGAAAGGACAACTGGGAAGAGGAAAATTGCCTGGACAAATTTGGCAAATGGACTATATTGGACCTTTACCCCAGAACCTAGGGTGTAAATATGTCTGCACTGCTGTAGATACATATTCTGGATATTTGATTGCCCATCCTTGTAAGAAAGCTACTCATCATAGTACTATCTGTACTATAGGCATAATCATTTTGTACTATGGAATACCATTGCAGATTCAAACTGACAATGGGTCTCATTTTCGAAACAAATTTGTTCAACAGTATGCTGAACAGCAAAATATTCAGTGGGTTTTTCATATACCGTACTATCCACAAGCTGCAGGATTGATTGAACGAATGAATGGGTTGTTGAAAGAGCAGCTGAAGAAGTTAGGAGATGGGAACCTATCCCGATGGAAAACTCATCTCACAGATGCGCTACATATTCTTAACAATAGGCCCATTGGGGAAATGGAAACCCCTTTGATGCGCATGACTACACCCAATTTACAAATAAAACCTCTGACAGTAAGTGAGACTTTGACTTACTGGGAGATTGTTCCGGGTGCGATGGCCCCTTACCGGGCCACTCCAGAGGCTGCAGGGCTAGATCTCTATGCATTGGAATTGATCAGGATAAACCAAAAACAGATGAAAGTTATCAATACTGGGATAGGAATTAAAATTCCTCCAGGACACTTTGGTTTGATAACTGCCCGTTCGAGCCTAGCCTTGAAAAGTATTCACGTCATGGGAGGAGTGATTGATGCGGATTATCAAGGAGAAATTAAAGTAATTCTGTTAAACAATGGTGAACAAGATTTGATTATTCATCCCCACGACAGAATAGCACAACTATTGATATTGCCAGTTTTGAAAGCAATTGTGAAAAAAGGGGATCCACCTCAAGTTACCACTGTTCGTGGAGATAAAGGGTTTGGATCAACTAATTTCAATAATGGAGCTAAAGTATGGGTCCAGAGTTCAAGCAGACCTCCTGAACCAGCTGAAGTAATAGCCACAGGAAAAGACAATACTGTTTTAATCATGAAACCTGGACAGGAAAAATGGGAATATGTTCCTGCGACTAAATGTTATCTGCGAGAATAACTAGATGTCTTAAGATTCTATCTTTTAGATCCTGCTAAGATGGATTTGCCTGTGTATCATCATGGTCCATTTGGGAAAGGTTTCACACCAGGATGGCCATTGGAAGGTCCACGAGAGACACCGCTTAGGTGGCAATGGAAAAATGCAACCAAGACAAGACAACAGGATGATTTCCGATGAAAAGCCAATTCTGCCTGTATCATAGCCAATCTTACTTTCAGTACTCAGTATAATGAAACGTGTACATACTGGTGGCCTTCAGGACCGGCATCACGATGGAGAGATCGTGGACGTCTTTTTGTAACCTGTCCTACAGATAATTCAAATGTCACTATATCTAGTAAAGTATCTCTTAAATGTTGTAATGTATCAGGTCTGCCCAGTTCGAAAGATTATTACAAATGTGTTAATCGAACAGATGGTCATGAGGTGAATGCTGCTCATGCGATAACCCTTCCCATGGAAGAAATAGAAACACTAATATGCCATAATAATTCAGTAATGAAAAATCGGTTACACTGGGGAGACTTCTTTACTATGTTAAAATCTAAACCTCATATTTCTGTTGATCATTTGTACCGCATTCCGTCTACTTGTGTTCAGGTAGCTCAACAATATCAGAAACATGTTATTCATTTCAATATTTCTTTCCCCCTGCTACCATCATGTAGATGGAAAAGGGCATGGTATGATACCCTGTTAGGAGGAACTGGGGCAGGAATGGGAGTTTTAAATTCTATTGATATCGAAACCTTAACAAACAAAGTAAAGAATGCTGGTTATGATGTGGCGGAAGGAATTAGGTTGCAGGCTCGGTGGCTTCCAACTACCTTTACCCCACAAATTGGGTCACTGAACTATGATACAGAATTTTTAAAGCTCTTCAATAGGACTCAAATTAATCAGTGGCATGTTGACCACAACATTAGCCAGATTATGAATTGGACAACATGTACACTGCAGACTTTACATGTCCTTATGCAACGAAACAAAGCTCAGAGTGACTTAATGGCTAATAATGAGCTGTTATGGAGAAACATATTTAAGAAATGGATTCCTCAAACCCATTGGGTCAAATTATCTCCACAGACAGTGCAGTGCACAGATTTATTCTGTGCTGGTCAAATAGTCCACTACGATGTTAGCCAACCTGAAGTTATGTGTAAATTTCTAGTATTGCCTGTAATTTTGGGGGAAAAACCACCCTTTGAACCAGAATATTGGCTGCCCCACTTGGAGGGAGATTATATAGACTCTAGGAATCGAACCCATAAATTAGATTTGTGTACGTCCACAGCAAATGGTTTATTGTGTGGACAAAGCTCGCGGTTATATGAACCATGTTTATTGGAACATTCAGTGAATCTGTGTAAATGGACAATTTTGCCCAAAAGCTTTGATATGTTTGTAGAAATTAGTGCTAAGCATGTTTGTATAGTAACAAATGATAAAAATATTATAGAAATGTATAATCTAAGTACTCCATTTTCGGGATGCCTCAGAAATGTATTCTATCTCATCTGGCACGGACAGATGTATACTTTTTATTCAACGCATGAAGAACGACTAAACGTGTACTGGCATCCCCAAAGCTTAGAACTTAATGGAATCAGCTTATCCCTGACTCCACTGAAAACCATCATGGAACAATCAGAACATTTGCGACGACACCTAGAACGACGAAATAAAACTCTGTCAGACTCTGTGATACAGACTGTAATCACAAAGAATCAACTAATGTCGCTAGCTAGCCAGATGGAAAAGGAGACTGCACACCACTGGTGGGACATCTTTACTGGATATTCATCCTCTGCAACCCAAGTGTTGAATTTCTTAATACATCCTCTTGTAATATTGTTAGTTATCATTATTATTATTACTTTATATAATTGTTATGTATGGTATCGTATCAAACGGATAGAGCGAACATATTGGGCTCTTCCAAAAGGGTCGTGATCTTCACTCATAAGTCAAAGGACCGATTGAAACAAAAAGGGGCCCAAACAATAGGCCTCAAACCAAAGTTGACTTCTGAGTGAATTCCCCGACCAGCAATCAGCATCTTATCAGCAGACTGAAGCAACCAGTATCTTATCAGCATGAAAATGTAACCCTGGGAACAATCCTTGGGAACTATAAGTAAACAATAGGAAGTAACTATAAATCCCAAATGTAAAGAAAAACAGAAACTCCTCAGACATGCCCGGATCCTGGCCAGATCCGGACATGCCTGAGTGAGGCATATCAATCTACCAGATATCTCCTGTGCGTTTTGTTTAGACTTGTTTGTTAAACTGTATAAAAGCTGGACCCTCTCACAGCAAAGACGGAGACCTCACCTACGAGTGGACGCACTGCGTAGGACTTCCCAATTGCCGGGAAAGGCTCTCCGACCCTTCGCTGTGACGGGGCTCCCCAGCTGATGCACGGGTCTGGATGATGGTAAAGTATGAGGGCAATTGGTGATGTATCTTTCTTAATCACTATAGCTACCTTTTAATAGTAATGTCTAGGTGCATTACCTTGCTTATTCTTTCTGCTATTTCTACTATAGTAAAATTTCTATTTCTACTAAAGTAAAATAAGCCTATTTCTTTAGCTTGGTGTCTGTGTCCTTTGTGTTAACCCCGTCAATTGGCAAAACACCACAGCACTTGTAACTCACAGCCCAAGTGTCTGTGCACAACTTGATCACCTATTTCTTTTCACAAAACCAGAGAAACTGTAATGCCCGTTCCCACAAAATGTTAGGACATTTGACTACCTCTATTTTTGCTGAAATGATTAATGTTGCTTTATAATTTATTTTTTAGTAAAGATACACTGAGACAGACTTACTTTCTATTACTTAAATGTAAAAGAAAAAAAAACAGTAAATAAAGCATTTGCCTGTTTTTAGGTTTTGGAAGAACCAAGTCATGCTGCATTTTTACACTTTGAATATATGCCTGAAGCAAACAATCACTGCATTCTGGTTTCCTCAAAAATGGGGCTTTCGTAACTGTAGTGTCCATCCATCTATCCATCCATCCATCCATCCATCAGTGCCTCTCACAATTTGTGAGCCACTGCCTAATATCAGGCAGGTTTGGCAGAGAATTGTAGTCTCAAAGATAATTAGGTTCCTACAAGTCTCACCAGTTTGCATGAAACCTGTAGGAACGTAACTGTCTTAGAGGGAGAGGAAAACAACCTAAATTAGTGTCCCTCAAGAAAAGACTCCAGTATAAACTCAAAAGTCTTCTGTTTGCCCTGCAAAAAGCCGAACAACATCAACACAGCTCCTTACTGGACACAGCTGTACTTAGGTAATGTATATAAGAGAGACTTAGTGTGGAAATGATGCTTAGCTATTAAGTGAGGGTTACTGGGGGCATTACAGGTGTGAAGAATGTCACAGGGGACACAGCAAGAGAACCTCAATATAATATAGTGAGAGGAGTGTAGAAAGAATACACAGAGCCTTAGAAATCAGGCAGTATTAGTTTCATCATTGATGTAGTAAGTTGTTCTTCCAAGATTTTAGTGTAGAAAGTATTTCTCTGTTTTCCTAAAGAGACTAGGACCTGAATCTTGCCATCTGAGGACACTTTCCACTTCAATATGCAAAAGGGGCTCTGTACTTATGCTGGCTGAGCTGGGATGCCTCATGTAAAAAGAGAAAAAAAGAACACTTTGGCTGAACAATTTTGCCTAAAGTGTGCTTTGCTTCATTGCTTGTAGTCTTCAAATACTGAACTCTCTTACTAAAGTTACTAACATGCACAAGTATGTTGCTGTAGAACTTCTGGCAAACAACCACCAAGCCAAATTTCAAAGGCCCTCTGGTAAACATTAGAAACCCAATTATTTGAGTTTATCTAGAGTGTTTCTCATGTGTGCATGAAAAACATTCTTTATTAAAATCAAAATTGTGTGCTGTTTAATGATTACTTACAAGTTACTGCCTCTGCACTGCTGTGAATGAACAGCAGCAATCCTGTACACAGTCTGGCTAAGAACCATTAGGATTCTCTTTGAAATTACTAAGATGTCAGTTATGAAATAACATTTATGCAAAAAAAAAGAAAAACAAGGAGAATTGCAAACCTCAGGAAGATGGGCTTATTAGTCAGTGCTTATTCATGCACTGACTAATGTGAGATGTCACTTATACAGAACCAAATGTCTCTCTACAGCCTGCAGCGCTGGAGGCCCACAGGTGGTCTCCAGACACTTACAGTCTTTGATTTAGATCAGAAAATATTCTCTTAAAACTATGTTGATATTTTTTACAATGCACAATCCAAAACTATAGCTTTGCCTTCCCTAGGGTGTTGTGTCATTTCCCTGAATTCATCACTCTTTGGGAATTTGCTGTCTCCACTCCTTGCTTTCTTCATTCCCTCATCTCTTGTCAGTATAAGAGAATAAAGAGGAGACCACAGCTGTGTCCTGGGGCACTTACAACACAAACTGCTGTTATAAGCTGGATCTCATGTTTTGGAGGCAAGACAATCTATATGTACTATAACAAAATACTCCAGACTGCCAATGAAGGCAACTCTGAAAAAGGCAAAAGCAATCACTGAATGTATTAATTACAGTATTTCAAGCAAAGAGAGAAAAATATCAATGTTATTGTATAAAGTGTTTCTGCTGTCTTCTCTGCAGTAATGCATATCATTCCATTCATTCATACTCAAGAGGGACACAAAGTGAAAGATGGCCAGAAGAACCCTGAATTTGGAGACACTATCACATAAGGGTGGCTTAGGTTACTCAATCCAGCAAAGCAGCTCTGAGAATTGATTTTATCATTGATTACAAATACACCGTTGCACTATTAAGAAAGGAGAATTCTGTCAAAGTGAGAGAACAACTTGTCACTAATAATCATAGGGTCAAATAAATAGCTTTGGGGTAGAAAATTAGAAAAAAACTCTGAAGAAGAAGTAAACTGAGCTTCTGAAACAGCATTCCAGCTGCAACAGGAGATGCAAAAAAAATGTCAGGGCATAGCAGGGAGATCCCCACGAGAGACTTCAGGACAGGGTCTTGCCAGGCTGGGAGCGGAGGAACTTGGGGAAAAAAGGCAGCCCCAGCCCCACGCATCAGGCACCTCCCTGAGCTTAAGCCAATCAGCTAGTGACTAGTAGGCATAATAGTTATCGTTGTCTGTATAAAATATATGTACCCTGGACCAATAAAGAATATAGGATGCTCTAACACCCACATTGAGTCCGTCTCGGCACTTCGTTCCTCCGCTCGCTCCGCACATTGAGATGTAGGGCTTTTCTTCTTCCAGTGGAAAGATTGTCCCATTGTCCTTCAGTAATTCAAGACAGTCATGCAAGCAAGTGTGAACAGCCACAAAGATGACCTCATTAGACGGGAAAAATATTGGCAGAAGGAAATGCATGCTGGCCTGGACACTAGGCGTGTGAATGTGGATGTCCCTGCTGGTGACACAGGCAACTTTAGAAACAAGACATATCCAGAGCTACCATAAATAGTGCCCTTAGAACTATGCATATATAGAAGTAATGAATCACAGCCATATCTGCTGTTGTATTACTGATGATTGCTTCACTGGTCCTAAGTTTGTTGTAATTTGTAATACTATATATGTATGCTTGATTGCTGCTATTATTGAGTGCTGCTAGAATCACTTGTTGCTATACTAATGATCAATGCTTTAGTATTAATTGCTAATAATAATTAGTAATAGCTTGATATATATGTGTTTGATTTATTAATCATGGGTTTGCTTGCTAGTGGTGATTTCTGTGGTACTGGTGGTAATCTGTAATACAGTAGAGAAATATTACGGAATCCTACAAAGCCACGGTCACAATCTCTACGTACCTGCAGGCCAGGTAGCTCATGACAGCAGGTACCCAGAAAACGGTAGATTAGAGGGCACAGCCAGTCATATCATGGACTTCCTGACTTGTGAGCAATGCCTGTAGTCTCGATAAATCCATTGAACCAAGAGCCATGTAAAATCAAAAGCTACTTTTACATTTCTGGAGGATTCTGCCTTGAGACACTACTTCTGGATGCAATGCCACGTGGCACGCAGCCTTGTCTCTGCTGTGCTCAAGCCCAGAGTGGGCTCGAGCCAACTCAGACAAGTTCAAGGGTCAACCTGGAATTCTGACAGAAACCAAAAGGTGGTTGGGCCACTTCCAAGATTTGAAAGACATACTGTAGGAAAACTTTAATGAAGGAAGACCAGTCCCGGATCCTGTAATAATGCTACCGTATTGATTTAACTTTTCACAGCATCCTGTGCTGGTACACTATTCTCCTACATACTCTGCTAAAAACATTGCTCAACTGCCACACTGATTTTTCTAGAAATACATGAATACAGGAACACAGTGGTGCCTTGCCTTTATTATATACTTCCAGGGTTTGCAGGGCAAAGCCCTGCCCCAGCAGAAGGAATCCAAGAGGAGGAGAAAAGGGAGGAAGAGTTTTGTCTCTGCCCAAGGGCTCGTAGCTCTTCTTTTCAAGACAGCTCAGAGTCAGACCACCTGGCCCAGAAAACTTGGCACCTCTCTCCCTAAGTCAGGAACACGCACCTGCACTCCCGGTTTTCACTTTGGTTACGGTTTGAGGGGGTGCCTGCCTGCTTTGTCAAGAGAGCCCCCAGGAGCTCGCTCCTGCCAGGCAGGTTTGTGCTGGCTGTGATGCCCAGGACCCGCTGAGCCGGGCGGTGGGGCGGAAGGCTGGGGCTCGCTGGTGGGGTGATGCTGCTGTGGTGGCTGTGACAGCACAGAGGACAGGTCACAATGGGAGCCGGCCCCAAGTACTCCATTGGGCAGCACCACTGCTGTTTGACCTGGGCGATCGGTGAGTGCAGCACGCAGGGCAATGGCTGGGCTGGATGGGGGACGGGGCAGGTGTCCGGGGGTTTTCTAACCCAGAGCAAGAGCTCAGCCCCTCAGGACAGGGCACGGTACCACCCTCAGGGCTGGGGGCAGAGCTGCTTGGGCCTCCCAGTGCTGGCAGGTGCCCAAAGATGCTTTGGGGATGTGCCAGGCGCCCGTGAGTCCATGGGACACTGTCGTGTGGCAGGGATGGGGCCTCGGGAGACTCTGCTCGGGTGTCCCTTGCCGTTTCAGGGGGCACAGCCCAGCCAGGGACTGGCCATCAGGGTGGCTTGGGCAGGATGTGCCCCATGCTGCCTCCAGCCAGGGCCTGTGACAGCCCCTTCATGCCTGTCGAAGCCAGTGCCCAAACGCCTTCCCAGGACAGCCTGTGGCTCCCGTCCGTGCAGCGCTCACAAACCCTGTCCTTCTTCCCTCCCACCTCCTGCACCCCCTTTCCTCCCAGCCCCCAGCTCCAGGCGGCTCCTGCCCCACTCCCCCAGCCCCGTGCTCCCTCCCACCCAGCCCTGCTGAGCCCCCTTTCCTCCCACTTTTTCCAGGCCATGGCTGCCGCAATCACCCTCATCCTGGCTATGCTGGCCATCCAGCATTTGCTGAACTGTGATAAGCAGGCAGATGTGCTCACGGCTGAGCAGATGCGTCAGCGTGAAGAATATCTCCATCAGGAAATGACTCGGCTGTTGCAGGAGATCGAGCAGAGCGGGTGTGCAGAGGAAAACACTCTCCTCCTTGTGTTGCAGCAGTGGCCATTTTGGACTTCGGCACTGGGCCTGCTCCTGCTTGCTCAAGCCTTCTGGTCGGCCAGGAAAAGTAACCTTGCCTCTGGCAGCTGCAGTGAGCAGGACAGCTCCTGCAGTGAGGAGGAAGACAACAAGGAGGAGGAAGACCTCAGTAGTTCATGCAGTGGTGTCGGGTCTTTGGCTGTGTTCACCCCATTACCAATGCACGGCCTGCCCAAAACGTGCAAGCTGCTGAAGGAGCTGGTGGGCGACCTCCTTGCTGTCTGCCGAGCGCTCTGCAAAAAGACACTCATGCCACAGATACACCCAGCTGATGGGATGGAAGGCATCTATGAAAACTGGAGTGTCCACAAGAACAGCATCACCTACCACCTGCCCGTGTTCCTGTGGCCACCCCCCGGGCACTCCTTCAGCGTGGAGCTGGACACCACGGGGCAGCTGCCAGCAAGGCACTCCAGCATCCGTGTGGTGTTGGAGTGCACGTGCTTGAGGGAGCAGCTGCTGGGGGATATGTTGTGCTTTCTCCACCACCCTGACAATAAGCTGCCAAGGGATCAGAGCTCGTGCCTCCTACGCACCCTCTGCAAAGGCTCCTACTTAGACATGGAGAAAATCACCTGCTGGGTCCAACTGTTGGTGCAATCAGCCTGGCTGCTTTTGCCTCAGTCGCACCACTGCCAGCTAACGGTGCTGCCCTCCTCCCAGTCATCCTGCAGGTTCCAGCTGACAAGCACCTCCAAGATGAACATCTGCATCGAGATGATTTTTGCAGTGCGGCAAGGCAGCCCAGGAGCCTACCTGAGCATTGAGTAGGCAGAGGCCAGCTCTGCCAGCAGCACATCATGGCCGGAGAGATGTGCTGTCGTTGAGATGACACTTGCCAGACTCACGGTGAGGCACACCCAGCAGGACAATTTCCACCTCAGAGGTCTGCAGCTCGGCACCGATATCCTGGTGGCCACCAGCTTTTCCACCCATGCCAGTCACCCTGAGCACCTACTTTCTTCTCACCCTGGTGAGGCCCAGGCAGCAATTTCAGACACTGGGATGGAGACTCTGCTCATGCCAGAGACTGCCTGCGAAGTCTGTCATCACAGCTGAGCAAACTAGCCATGGAGGTGACACTACTGAAGAGGAGCTCAGCATAAACAGAGTTTGGGCATTCTCCGCCAGTCCAGCTGAAGACATCATTGCAACCGAGGCTCCTGTTACCACCCGTAACAGGATGGGACCATCCAGCCTGCTGGACAGATTTGCTGCATCATAATTGGTGAGTGAGCCCTCCCTGTCCCCACTCCGGTGCCCCCAGCCCTCTTTTAGCTTTTCTCTCCCCATTCCAGCAGTTGGAGGAGTGAGCGAGCGGCTGGCTGGTGTTTAGTGACTGTCTGGCCCTAAACCATGACCCTACTATTGGATCTTCCAGAGCTGTCACTACATGCTGCATGCACTTTTCCCTTTCCTAAAGAGGTTGATGACCCAGGCCTGGCAGTGTGTGGTAGTTAGGATCTGGCGACTGGAAGATATCGCGCTGTACGGAAAGGTAGGACCCCTCTCCCTATAGTGTTTAGTTTATGATGTAAGCAGACGGAAGTGATGTTGTAAACTCAAGCTATATAAGGCTGTGTCATTCAGTAATAAAACGCCATTTGCCGTTGAAACAAAAAGGGACCCAAACAATAGGCCTCAAACCAAAGTTGACTTCTGAGTGAATTCCCCGACCAGCAATCAGCATCTTATCAGCAGACTGAAGCAACCAGTATCTTATCAGCATGAAAATGTAACCCTGGGAACAATCCTTGGGAACTATAAGTAAACAATAGGAAGTAACTATAAATCCCAAATGTAAAGAAAAACAGAAACTCCTCAGACATGCCCGGATCCTGGCCAGATCCGGACATGCCTGAGTGAGGCATATCAATCTACCAGATATCTCCTGTGCGTTTTGTTTAGACTTGTTTGTTAAACTGTATAAAAGCTGGACCCTCTCACAGCAAAGACGGAGACCTCACCTACGAGTGGACGCACTGCGTAGGACTTCCCAATTGCCGGGAAAGGCTCTCCGACCCTTCGCTGTGACGGGGCTCCCCAGCTGATGCACGGGTCTGGATGATGGTAAAGTATGAGGGCAATTGGTGATGTATCTTTCTTAATCACTATAGCTACCTTTTAATAGTAATGTCTAGGTGCATTACCTTGCTTATTCTTTCTGCTATTTCTACTATAGTAAAATTTCTATTTCTACTAAAGTAAAATAAGCCTATTTCTTTAGCTTGGTGTCTGTGTCCTTTGTGTTAACCCCGTCAATTGGCAAAACAAATTTGGCGTCACGGACAGGATTAGAACAAAATGTCATTTTTTAAATCTAAACGTAATGAATCAGCTCCATCTGAAATTCCTGGATGGGAAGACCTTCCTTATAGTTCACTGGCTCTTGAGTGGGCTAAGGTCGGAGGACCATGTGAACAGTGGGAAAGTCGGCTAAAAGAAGCTGAACCACTGGATGTATTAAAATGTATCCAAAAATTATCTATCGAAAAAGGAAAAGAAATTGTGTGTTTGGGAAGACGGGGATGGGTTTTGTTAACAGCATATCGGAAACAGCACCAAGAGAAAGAAAAACTGTTGTTAGAGCGCTCCCACATGGAGCGACAGATGTGTGATTTGCAGAATCAAATTGTAATGTTACAGTGTCAAAACAAGTTGCTTGCCGATAAGTTGGATACTTATCAGACTGTAGCTGAAAGAGCTGCAGTAAGAGTTGCACAGTATAAGTATAAGAAAAGAAGGGGACGAGTAAACCATAGGAAAGTGCATGCTGTGATTGCAGAAGCAGGGGTACAGTGGGATCCTGACAGATGGGATGGAGATATTTGAGATTCTACAGGTTCTGATGAGGCTGGTTCCTCAGATGAACCTGTGGATGTAAAACCAGTGTGGAGACGGAAAATAGAATTGGATACTAACGGGCAACAAGTAAGGAAGGATGTGATTGAAGATTATACTCAGCATGAAATAAATGATATAATTGAAAGATTTAAGCAGAGACAGGGGGAACCCCTGCTCTCTTGGATGGTGCGTTTGCACGATCAGGGAGCAGCAGGGGTAACCCTAGATCCAGAGGACTCTAGGAAGTTTTTAGTTTTGAGTTCTGACTCCTTTGTGCAAGATGCATTCCGAAATAATCCTCAGGATACAAATTTGTTAACCTTGGCTGCCCGGGGATGTAATAATAAATACCCCACGGAGAATGATTGGCCAGGTGGGGAACGTCCCTGGTATACTTTGCGAGATTGTATACAGCGGATGAAGGAGGAAGGGATGAAATTGGCAATCTTTATAGGAGACCCTGACAGAATGATGCAAGCTGCCTTGTCTGTCACTCATAGAAACCGATTGATTAAAACTGCCCCACCAGCATATAAAAATGTAATAATGACTCTCTTAATTAATGAGACCGGAAATCCCATTGATGAAATAATTGAAAAAATACAGCAGCTAGGTGATCTTGGAGAATGGGGCCCCCGAGGAAGCGCAGGAAACCGAGATACTCGGGACAGCCCTAAAGGAAATGAGAACAGAGTCTCTCGCAAAGAAATGTTTACAGCTTTACTGAAGGATGGCCTATCTCGTGAAAAGATTGATGGTGTTCCAACTAATGAGCTGTGGCGAATATACAAACAAAGAGGGCTGAATAAGCCTAGCAGGAGAGTGCAAAGTTCTGAAACTAAGAAGCCAGGGGTAACTCAGCCTACAGCACCTCCTCCTGAGCCTCAACGGGACTTCCCATCTGCACACGGTGGGCCCTCCGTGGGCAGATCAGTTGTTCCGGGGGAAAGGGAGGATTGGGAGCTGTATTCTGATTTATACCCATGGAAGGAGACTAGGGAAATTGTCCAGAGCAGTAAACAGGAATGAAATTATGGCCAAGCTCCAGTGCAATGGGCACGGAAGGACCGACGGCCCCATGTGGAGCTCCAAATATTTTGGAAAAACCGGTCCTCACAAACAGTAAAAGCCTTAATTGACACAGGAGCGGAGGCCTCCTTGATATATGGGAATCCAAAGAAATTTAAAGGACAACCTGTAATCATTACAAGTCTGGGAGGGAAACAAATTGAAGCTGTACAAACTCAAATTGAAATGAAAATAGGAAACCTCCCAAAACGACTGTATTCAGTCATGATTGTCCCCATTCCTGAATACATAATCGGAATAGACATTCTGAAGGGACTAACTTTGAATCTCCCAGACGGTCAGTACCAGTTTGGGGTAAAAAATCATATCAGTATTAAAACAATTTTAGTAGGAAAAGTGAAAATGCCTCCTGTACAGATTCCTGCTGCTACTAAATTAGTGACTATGAAACAATATAGAATTCCAGGAGGGCATGAGGAGATATCACAGACAATTAAAGATTTATTAGATGCAGGAGTGTTGAAACCAGTTACCACAGCTTGGAACAATCCGGTATGGCCTGTCAAGAAAAGTGATGGGTCATGGAGAATGACAGTGGATTTTAGGGAATTAAATAAACACACCCCACCACTTACAGCAGCTGTACCAGATACTATTACTTTAATAGAAAAGGTTCAAAAGCATTCAGGGACTTGGTATGCTGTAATAGATTTAGCTAACGCCTTTTTCACTATCCCAATTGCAGAGGAGCATTGGGACCAATTTGCCTTCACCTGGCAAGGAAGACAGTATACCTTTACCAGATTGCCTCAGGGATGGCTGCATAGTCCAACCATTTGCCATCGGACAGTGGCTGAGCATCTGGATAAGATAAAATTGCCTCCTCATATGCAAATAGTGCATTACATTGATGATATCCTAATTCAGGGAAATGATGAGAAGGAAGTACAACAAATACTTGAACAGGTTGTAGATCATATGAGACAGAAAGGTTGGGAAATTAATCCTAACAAGATTCAAGAACCATCCCAAACGGTAAAATTCTTAGGAATTCAATGGCATTGTGGGCATCGGGAAATATTACCCAAAGCTCGACAGAAAATTTTGGATTTTGCAGTGCCACAAAATAAAAATGAGGCACAGAGATTTATTGGATTGTTTGGCTTTTGGCGGCAGCATATTCCCCATTTAGGACAGATTCTGACTCCTTTGCATAAAGTAACAAGGAAAAAATATGAGTTTGAATGGGGAAATGAACAGCAAGCTGCTTTTGAGTCAGCAAAGGAAGCCCTTCAAAAGGCCCTAGATTTGTGGCCATTGCAGGAGGGAGAAGTGGAGTTAAATGTGTCGGTAAATGGATTACATGCCAATTGGAGCCTATGGCAAAAACAGGGAAAGAAAAAAGTTCCCTTAGGTTTTTGGGGACGAAAGCTGCCAGAGGCAGGAAATAATTATACACCTTTTGAGAGACAACTATTGGCATGTTATTGGGCGTTGGTAGAAACAGAGCAGCTTACAATAGGACATGAAGTGTCCCTTCGTCCTGAAATTCCTATCATGCAATGGGTTAAAAGCTCTCCTAAAACCCATAGAATTGGGCATGCTCAAGAATCGAGTATCATAAAGTGGAAATGGTATATTCAGGATAGGGCCAAGGTAGGGGTTGGTGGAGTAGCTACCCTCCACAAGAGAGTAGCTACTGCCCCCACAGGTGATCAAGTAATGAACCCTGATTTCACAGTTGAACGGGAATCCCCAGTACAATGGGGAAAAGCTTTTGACCAATTGACACCCTCTGAAAAGGAACATGCTTGGATCAGCTAAGTATATAGGAGGGAAGAGGTTTTGGAAAGCAGTAGCTTACCATCCCCATCTAGAAAAATTTTTAGAAACTACAG